AATATGTAGGGAGCATTGTGCAACTAATAAATGCCGAGTTTCTTCAAGATATTTTGATAAACAAACAAGATTTCGATTCCTTGACCGATCGTCCCAATGTCAGCTACTTGATATAGTGTTACGATCCGGCCGGCTTCCACTTATGTACTAGGTAAAGGTCTTAGGATGATATCTTGAAAACTGAGACTAGTTCGCTTAGAAACAGAAATACGGAGAGTTGGGCATGGCTATATCAACTCGGCTGTTGATGCTGATCTGGAATATATATACTCTATCGGTGGGAGATGTCTCCTATGCTTTACACATTTCATGGCAAAATTATAATACCCTTTACACCAAAAGAATGAATATGATATCGTATATGCAAAATAATACTTCAATTTTCACTGATTCCATTTGTATTGCAAAAAATGAAGTCAGCTTTTTAAAAAATGCCGCTATGTTGTTTTGTTAATTCAATAAATAAATAAAGTGCAATAAAAATTATGAAATGCACTTGACTAATTTCTCGATTAGATGTCTGGAAGTGTTAAATAAAAATCAGAGTGTACACAAATAAGTGCCCCCCATTAAAATGCAGTCAGGTGTCATAAAAGATGTCTAATAGTGAAATTTACTGCAGTTTGCGGCACGCAAACAAACGCTTAGCCACAAATTCGAGCACTTCTATAAAGATAACGATCCCCAACAAGCCATTATAACTGGCCGAGTACTGCAGTTTTTGTTGATCTAATGATAAAAGAAAAAACTCGCTCTGTTTGTGTATTTGCAGATTTGTTTTTAACAATTTACACATCGTTTCATTTATGGCGATTATTAACCTAACAATAACAAGCTGTTAATTATATTTGGGAGACGGTTAACAACTTTATAATGTGTGCGAGGCTCAAAGCGGGTTTTTCAATTTCTGAGAATAATCGACGCGTTTAGTTTGTTTATTGCTCTCATCGGACAATTAGATGTCTATTAAAATTAATATATATAAATTACTAGCGGGTATAACCCGGCCTTGCCTGTGGAACGTATGTTCAAAATCAACGTTCTCAAAAAGCTTTGAAAATGATTTTGAAACTTATCGGACGGTAAACAAACAATTTTCATAGAAACGTTTTCCGCCAATTTACCAATGTTGCGAGTGGAATTTCCCAAATCGCTGAAACACGTATTCATTATATTCTTATCTAGAGCTTTGAAAATAAGTTTGAAGCAAATCGGACACAACTTAAAACTTCGCGCAAAAAATCTTTGAGTTGCATTCCACCCGAAAAAGTTTGGATTCTGCGAAAAGTGTGAAACACGTTTCAAATGATTTTTCTTATAGATCTCCGAAAACGAATTTGAGCGCGAAACGTCACCCACCAAATCTTTGACCTCCATTTCCATCAAGGAGGAACGAATTTTCCTGAAAGTGTGAAACACCCCTCAAATGAATTTGAGCAAAGATCTTTGAAAATAAGTTTGAGGCCGATCGGATGGTGGAATTTCCCGAAAGCCCGTCTTAACGTGTACCTACATCACATAAGGTAGCTACAGTGAAAATTTCAGCTTCCTAGCTCTTACGGTTTGGGCTGTGCGTTGATCACCAATCAGTCAGTCAGTCAGTCAGTCACTCAGTCATTCAGTCAGTCAGTCAGTCAGTCAGTCAGTCAGTCAGTCAGGACAAACAGTTTTATATATAGAGATTACTGCATTACAAACAAATGAGCTAGCTTGGCTTTGCTGCTTGAGCGTCGAACCCTCAAGCAGAAGGTCACTGGTTCAAACCCAGTATTATTTTGATTTATATATTTGTAATAATAAATTTTGGAATGGTCGGGAATTTGATCGGCTTTGTATCTCTCTGATATTGGCGCGTTTGTTGACCCGGACGAAGTCTGATAATTTCTTCTAGTATATCATATATGTTTTATCATACGTCTGTGATAAGACTAATCGGTCAAGGCTTTAAGATTTCGGATTGTTTGTGTGATATGCGAGCAAAAAAAAAACACAAAGCAATGCCCATTTGCTATGTTCAAGCAGAGACATTAAATTGCATATAAACATTATATTGCAACACCGAAGGCCGAACAGATAACAGATAAACAACTTTTTATAGAAAGAACCCTGCTTTAAAGATATGGTTATATCTTAATTTTAATTCAACATAGTTTTAAGACTTTTTATCTAGTTAATTTCTACCAGATTGTCTACTAGAACCGCAACTTTGTTGTAATTTTGTACACTAAAAAAATCTAATTATAATTTACGTATAATTTGCAAAAAAAAAACAGACTTCGTAGAAATGTTCCATATAACGTTTCGAAAATAATGCGTTTTTTATGCCCTTGCAGAGGGTATTATAATATTGAGATGGAATATGTAACGCATAGAGACAACTCCGACTTCATAAGATATATATATTTTAGATCAGCGTCAACAGCCGAGTATGTCCGTCAACTCAACTCTTGTAAACCTTAAGATCAAGCTCTTAACATTCAAATGTGGAATGAAAGAAAGAGGTAAATGTTCACAGTCAGCTTCCCAGGTAATTATAAGTAGATCAGGGCTAGGGCAACGCTCGCCAAAAATTGCAAAATAATGTGAATATAATTAATTTTTTAACAACCCAAAAATAGTTATTAACAAAAATTTCAACAAAACGAGCGCTGACTGAAATGGCGTTAACAAACTCCTACAAAAAAACAAAAACAAAGAAAGTAAAAAAAAAACCACATGTTTTTGGTAAAATTGGGAAAAAAAACAGGTTTTTAATTCTGCTTAAAAATGTTTTTGTTTTGTATAATGAGCAAAAGAAGAAGCAGAGCTGGAAACAATGTTAAATCAACTTCAGCTGATGAGTCAGCCAAGCTGAAATTATGTTAAATTATGTCGATTTTCAAGTACCACGCTTCGAAAGATTCTCAAAACTGACGTCACTTTTGCCATACGCAATCAGCTAAGAGCGGTTTTAGCTAGTTTCAAGCCGAAAACTTGAAAGTTGTTCGGACAACTCTAGAAACGGATGTAATGCGAGTTACTATCAGAGAAGTTAAGGTTAAGTTAAGGTACTCGTTTATTTTTTTAAATTCCTTTCCATTCGTTTTCCTTTTTTAAATTTGTTAGTTATTTTGTATATTTTTCTTCTTCTAATCAAAATATATTGTATAATTTTAATGGATTTCTTTTGCTAGCTATATTTATATCAGTTTTTATAAAATTTCATCTATAAATATTAATATTATTTGCATTATTTTTCTCTATTTAGAATAAACTTATTTAACTGCAATTAAATTTGTCTGATCCACTTGACGCTCATTATAAACGATAATATTTGTGTCATGTTTAACAGTACCCCCCCCCCCCCCCCCACCCCACCCTCCCCTCCTTCAGGCCCATAAACCAGTTCAATTGACGCTTGTTAGTCTTAAAATGCCCCAATGTCCGGGCCTTTGCATTAGTATGCAAAAACGTGTTTCATGGCGTGCTTGTTACGCTCGTCGCCAAAAAAGGCCCAAAAAAAACTACAAAAATACAAATATTAATGAGCATGTTGTATACATTGCGTATACGTCACAAGCCAAACACACATTAAGAAAGAAACAAAACAGAAAAACGACATTTAAAACAGAGTGTTTTAAGCCCGACGTTTATATACTCTTCGTTAGTGTTATATCGTATAAGACAATTGATTAGGTTGGCTTCTGTTTGATGTGCTTAGTTTTTACCAAGGAATAAATTCTATATTCTATATACGGCCTTTCGAATAGATCACAGATACTAGTACAATTCTACTTTTTTTTTATTTAAATTAAATTTATTTTTAATTTAATTCAAATAATAATAATTTTTATTCAATTATTTGTTATTTAAATTTATTTTGGATCACTTTTAAATTAAATTTTGTACATGCTAAGCGCTATATTTTTGTTAAATTCAAAATTTAAAATTCAAATTAAATTCAAAATAAATATATATATATAATAGGATATATATATATATAGATATAGTCGGATATATAAATATATATATATAAAAATATAAAAAATATATATAAATTTAAAAAATATCTATGACATATACAAAATATATATGTATGATATACATATATATTATATATAGATATATATATATATTTCTAGTATATTAGATATTTATTTATTAAATTACAAAATGAAAACAATATCGGAAAAAATAGAAAAATATATCGGAGAAGAAATATATGAAAACAAAATTGTTTTCAATTTTGATTTTATAAAATTAATCCCCGGACCTCGACCCACATTATTAAAAAATAAAAAAAAAAATTAAAAAAAAAGATATATATATACTATATAAATAAGTATATGTGTATCTAGCTTATATATTTAGGTACACCTTACATATCTAGGGTTCAGTTCAAAGACCACTCAATTCGACCAGCTGAAGCTTTTGTTAAGTCTCATCAGAGCCAATTAAAACTAACCTTAGCGAAGCATTTTATGCTGGGCTTTTATGCTGTCAGTGGCAGCTGTCCCTGGGCTTGCACCCCTCCCCCCCCCCCCCCTCACGCACCCCACCAGTCAATCTACCAGCAAAGACATTGCACAGTGGGCAAACGAGTCACGCGCTTGCGCAGCTGCTGCAATGGACCGTTGAGAACTTGCTGGGCCTTACCTGCACTTTAACTGTTAAATGTAACTGTTGTTGTCGTTGTTGTTGTTGTTGTTGTTGCTGCGCCTGCTGATGTCAAAAGCTTCCGCTGCTTGACTTTTAGCTGCCTGCGTCTTCTTCTTCTTATTATTTGTCTTTAACTTGGCTACAATTAAGTTTATGCTGATTTACAGTTGTGTTTGTTGTTGTTGTTGTTGTTGTTGTTGCTGTTGCTGTAACTGTCAGCCAGTTGTAACCGCTTTGAACCAGCCAAAAACCACTTTGCTTTGCCTTTATTCAACTTTAACTTTTGGTCCGCACTTTCAAGGCTGAACTCTTAACTATTTCTTAAGTATTCAAATTATATAATTGTTAATTTTTTATTGCAGAAACATCTTCAGATCTCTTCTGAACGCTGCTTCTTCTTGTTTTGCTGGGACACTTCCGCTAGACACTTTGAGGCGCACGCAAACGAAACCGAAATGTGATGCCGAACGTAAGAAAAAACCCGTTATTATAACTATTACTGCTATTATTATTATTATTGTTATTGTATTACGTGCGTATGACAATGGGCAAAGCCGTTAAGTGAACCGACGATCGCTTGGGCAAAGCGCCAGCAGCCAACTGAGTGAGCCAAGGCGCAGCTCGGAGGGTTTTATGGCGAACTTGACTTCAGCCGCGCACAGTGGGAAGAGTTACTATAAAATCGAACAAAATTCTTATTTGCCTTTAATAAAACTCACGACAAAACGCTTGAAATTAAAACTTAGCAAATATTTTAAATAGTATTTGCTTGAACAGAAAAAATATTTACTATGCTTAAATGAAAAGTAGAATATATTAAAATGCATTAGAAATTGATATGCCTAAAAGAAAATATATACAAGTAAATATATACAGTTTGTGCTAGGCATGCAAATATATTTCAACAAATATTGTGAATAATTATAAACCTGATTTTGAGTTTGGCTGCTGCCATTTTGTCCCACTGTGCCAGGCATCGCAAAACCGCGTCGATCGTTGTTTGTTATTGTTGGCTCAAAGACGGCGGCAGAGCGAATCACGAAATATAGGTGAAAGCTTTGCACACGACTCAACAGCTGACGGGTTCGTGTCGCGGCTAAGCTGATCTTATACAAGACAGTTTGAGAGCAACTGTTGCCTGAATAAAAAAAACGAAGTAAAATCAATTTATTGATACAACTTATACACTTGACTTGTTTAATAATATTTTCATATAAAATATATAAAAACAGTGAAAAATGTATGCAAAAGTTTCTTTGCCAAATCCGAAAACAATTGGTTGTGTGTCTCGACTAATTGATCTTCTACGTTACAGTTTTAGGGCTGCTGTGTGTGGCCTTAAAGGCTTTCAAACTGTGAGAATATCTTTTAATTAAAGGGGGAAAGTGTTTCAAAGAAGTGATTAAGGTTTGAGAGCTTTTGTTTCTGTGGGCGATCGGTCCTATTTACAGTTGAGGAGCAGCTGCATGTGGCTTTAGAGGCTTTAAAACTATGAGAATATCTTATACTTAAAGGGAAAAAGTGTCTTAAAGAAGGAGTTACAGTTTGACGGCCTTTGTGCCTGAGGTTAATGTGATTGACTTTTAATGTTCAAATGATCGATACCTAAATTTTAAGCTATAATTATAAATATATTTTTATCTATATCTACCTTTATATCCATCAAAATCGTCATCTTTAATTCCAAGCATCTTGCATACAAAACTATCTTTTGCTTCTTCTTATTTGTTATTTTGTTTTGTCAAGTTTACTCAACTTAAACGAAGCTTTCGTATTTATTTCTTTAGCCTCGTCTTGCTTTCTGTAGAAGTTGCACTTACACTTTTCTCATTAGGCGCAGGGCAATACACACACACACACACGCACACACACACACTGACAAAGAAAGTTGCTTCACTATGTGGCACACTTGGTCCATTGTTCCTGGACCGCAGTACAACACAAATTGTTATGATAAAAGTTTTTATCAAGTTTTCATTTTATTTTCGGTTGTTTTTTTCATGTGCTTCATCGTATTCTGTGTGCCGTTGATATACCATATAAGTAAAATGGCGACCAGAGTGAGAGAGAGAGTGCGAGAGAGAGAGAGAGAGAGAGGGAGAGGGCAAGGCTGAGGCAAGTCAAGTAACTGGGCAGCTGTATGCAAAAACAATGCCTCGGGGACGGCGCTGCCTCATAAAATTTTAACTACTTGCAAAAATACTGCTAACTGGTAAACTTTAAGCCAAAAATCATTAAGTCTGCAGCCTGGACAGTCACTAAAAGAGTTTCCACTTCAAGACTGTGCAAAATGCTAAACAGAGAGACATCCAGAGAGTGCGTGTGTGCGAGAGAGAGAGAGAGAAACTTTTAGCTGTGCTTGTTTTATGCTAACAAATTTGTTGCATGGCCATTTTGTGGTTCCTCCGGGCGGGATTGACTTTCATCTACATCCTTAGTATAAGACTGCCCTCTCTTCCAGCTATACACTGTTTGGCATTGTCATTATGACTGTCACTGGACCTTGGAGACACTCTCAACCGAGGAGTGGCTGGATGTGGGGTGGAAGGGGGGGGGGGGGGGCGAAGGCAAGTTTGGGGCGTGTGGAGCATGTGCCTGTCTACTCTTGCGGCTCTCTCAACTTTTTAATTGCAATTAAAAACTAAGCAAAAGACTTTTTGCAACCAGCAGCCATTTTTGCTTGCAAATTTTATGGCTTAGTCGATTCAGAATAATACATATAAAACTTATTTTTATATGTATATAATAATAACGGCTAGCCCATTTGCAAAAGGCAACTGTGAATTGGTTTAAATTGAAAACAAAATAATCTATGAAATTATTTTTATTAACATTAATAAATAAAAATTTTTAATTTTATGTTGTTTATTTCTATTTTGAGCGATTAATATTTTTGTTGTTATTATTATTTTTTTGTAATATTATTATTATTATTTGGATGTTATTATTTTTCAAATTTTATTTTTATAATTATTCTTATTCAGATATTATTATAATTATTTATATTATTATTAGTTTGAATATCAATTTTATTATGTTAAGTTTTATTATATTTATGATTATTATTGGAATTATTATTTTTATTATCAATATTAATATTGTTATAATTATTATTTCTATTTTAAATATGAATTTTTATTGGATTTAGTATTATTATTTTCATTATTTTTATTATTAATGTTAATGTTGTTATTATTATTATTGTTACTATTATTATTACTTTTGTTATTATTATAATTGTTTTAACTTTAAATATTATATTGGACTATAATGGCCTATTTCTTACAAGATATATATTATATATTTATACATTTTACACCAGCCACGGTCACTCTATGAGGTCATTTCTGATCCTCCTCCTCACCTTGGCCATATACAATACTTAAATTCTGCATTGTTTGTCTCGAGTGCATTTTCATTGTCTTGAGCATTTCCAGTAAAATAACTCTCGCAGGCCGCATCTGGCTGCTTTTGCGTGGATTACATCAACTTATGCCCTGCCAGGCCAAGGAAACTCAGCCAAGACCATTTTACGGCTATCCATTGCAATTTGGGTTAATCCTTGAGCCTTGCCTGAGAAAAAAACAAATGCACTTAAATTTCTGGACACATTTAAATGCATTTCTGAACAAAAAAACATATACCCACCCATTCAGACAGTTGTGTTGGCGCTTTCCAGAGGTCGTCAGCCGAAAACTGCTGAAATTTCGAACTTACTATTTAGCTATTTATTGAGCTAAGACATCGCATTAAGCCTTTTTAAAGCTATTTCAGCTTCTTTTGGCAGCGGCAGCTCTGCCCGCCAGCCAGTTAAAATTCAAATTTTCTTCGCAGGCAGCTGCAACTGCAGTTGCGCCTCAAAGCCGGCTCCGGCTCCGGCTCCGGCTCCATTCAGTGATTTTGGCTTTTGTGGTGTCTCGACGAGCGGCACAAAAAGTGCAGAAAATAGTTGTAGTAGTCCTAGAAGAAGAAGAACAAAAATATATATAAAATAATTTTTGTCTTTGGAGCCCACTCACATGTTATGTGTAGGTAATCTCCTTTATTACTGCGGCAACTTTTTGTGGGGCAAAGCGACATAAAACAGGATTTTGAGGGCTGAGATTTTGTGCGGCTGTTCGTTGCGGCGGGTAGGTTGACTCGTGGGGGGGGGGGATGGTTTGGCATTACCAACTTTTGCATAACATGCGAACGAGAGACAAACTGTGAGCATTACGTAAATGTTTATTTTTGCTGAGAAAAGCCACAAGTCATAAAACAAAGTTTTTGGCCCAAAATTATATTGTAGATGTCGTCTGGCAAGAGATGCGCTAATTGAAAATGACTTTGGGCCATAAAATGTGCATTTGGCTAATGAAAATGCTGCTACAGCAGCCTAATTGGGCCAATTGAGCCACTTGCCACAAGTATCTGGGCTGATTCATTTAACTAATTGAAGATAACTTGATAACCTAACCGAACAACTCTCTCGCTCTTCCTCTCTCTCGCTCTCTCTCTCTCTCTCTCTCCCAACTGCAACTCAAGGCCTTCTCAAGTAGTGTCAAAGCAAGGACAAAATCTTTCTCCTACACAATATCGCATTTGCTTTTGGATGAAAAAACCTCAGTTAAATTTGGAATCCCCATTTAAATTTGCACAGCCTTCGGTGCCGCAACAAGAAAGTTCCACATTTTCCGCCTTCGTTTTTTTTTTAGCCTTTTCCTTACTTTTTAGGTAGCATTTGTTTTTTACTGCCTTACGCGTGCGCCTTTACAATTTTATGGTTTTTCCTTTAATGGATTTATAATTTTTTGGCCATCGACAAAAAAATAAGCAGGTCCTGAGCTTTATTGCAAGTTAGTTGAAAGTAGAACCTAAAAGGAAAATAAAGAAGAAAGTTTACAGGATATTATGACAAATATTGGGTATGGTATTTCATTTAAGACTCACCTATTTAAAGCTAGAGTTGTTTGAAATTTTAAAATGAATAAATGAGGTTTAGTTATAGAAGATATCTGAGGTGTCTCCCATATAAAACCGACATCAACTGATTCTATTATTAATATATAATAATAATATATATAATTAATATATAATAAACGAAAAAGCAAGGATATCTTCAGCACGCAGAAGATAAAATACTCTTGTAGATATTTTCTTTTTGCAGATATGTGAGAATAGTGAAGCTCGTAAATGCTGAGTTTGATGTAAATTGACCCATCGTTCGTATGGCAACATATGTACTGCCTGTAACAGAAAGACGGACACATGTAAAGTTGTAAGACTAACTAAGACAGCTCGTCAATATATACTTTATGGGGTCTCCTTCTATGCGTTAAATTTTTCATGACAAAATTATAAAACCTTCTACAAGGGTATAAAAAACAGAATCACCAATAACCTGCCAGACATAACATAAATATGTAAATAATAAAGTAAATTAAATGATGACCAGACGTTAAACAGAGCTTAATAAGGCCTTTACAAAATTAAAGAAATACAGAACATTTAACACGTATTCAAAATAAACATTAAAAAGGAACCAACATTTTAAATAAAAGGAAGACACCGTATGTGTTAAATTGAAATAAACAGAGATCCAAAAATAAATAGCAGAGCTATTGAATATGCGCGTATAAAGTAAAATATTAGAGTTATGTGCCAATTTACATATTTTGCAAATGCAATTACAAATTGATGCAATGCCCAGTTGAAGTGGCCAAAGACATAACCCAATTTGTTTTGCAGGCTTCCTTTGGCCTTTCTACTCTAGCCTGCATCCTTGCGTTCTTTTGCCTGCTTCATGCCATCAAATGCGGTTTGTTCCAGTGTCCGGTTTGCTGTGCAGTTCCATTACGTGCATTTCCCGCATCGCGTGTCTTTAATGACGCACAACGGTGACTGCGATTTGCCGCCCACTTTTTGCATTTTCCGATGCAGCTGCCATAAAATTGCAGCAAGCTTCTGGCCCCAAATTGAGCCAAATCCGAAGTCCGAGGTCCAGTCCTAGAGGGCAAAAAGGCAGCCAGTTGCCTGCCAGTTGACTGCAGTTTATTAGCTCGGAATTGCAGCTTGGATTGCCGATCGGAACTACGAGCTGTTGCAGTTCAGAAGGATGCTCAGCTTTAAGGAGAGCCGGCCACTGGGTGTAGCATACAAATTTGTGGCATGCAACAGGTTGTAGCAGTCAATTTCGTACATCTATGGCATATAAATAGGAAAATTTTGTATTCAGAGACAATCAGTTATAAACATAAAATACCTGCATAAATAAGAATACGAATTTCTTTAGACATTTTAAAGCTAAAAATGGAAAGGAATCAGTTTTATATAAAGAAATTCTATATGTACTCACAGCTTGTGGCACAGCAGTTGCTTGACAAGACAAAATCGTTTCTCCGCTCAAATTTGAATGCTCTGCAATTAAATACAATATTAGATCTTAATTTTCCAATTAGCAAACAATTTTCAGCAGCTTGTCGCTAATTAGCCGCCCATCCAAGGCGACGCGTCGGGCGGCATCGATGCGTAACTTTAACCTCGTTCCGTGTTAACCTTTGCCCTTGCGCCAGACACACGTCAATTTTCACCGCCAACGCGCCGAAAACAATTAAAAAAGGTGATGTCAAGAAAACTGGCGAAAATTTGACTGTCTCAGCGAATCCTTTCAAGAAGCGCCCAAGTCAAATGAACAAATGCCAACAGAAGAGAAATAACTTTCCAGAAAACATCGTCGACTTTGTTGTTGGGGGGGGGGGGGGGGGGTGCATGGTGCCCTGTCATTTCCATGGCCATTGATATTGCTGTAAGTACTTGTGTAAGGGTCCAAATTTATTTTCTGAGCCATCAACTACTTATTTTTGTTTATAAAATGACAACTTTTATACCTTACTTTTTTTCCTATTTGCATTTAATAAGAAAAAATATTCCTTTACGAATCTGTGTGGGAGATCAAGAAATATTTATCGATAGCTGAACTTGTGCATTCTTCTTCGTGCTTATATCGATAAAGATAGTTTCGATAGTTCTGCGTGCTCGCGAGTGAAGAAAACGTGAATTAGTAGTGTGCGGCGCATAAATTATCCCAATTTTATAAAGAATTCAATTGTTTGCGTACGAAAATCTTTTAAAATGCAAAAAGGTGTTTGTCTGTACAGCAGATAAGCTGCAGCGCTTGTTCAGTGTACATGTGAGCATATGTTCTTGTGTAATTTTGTAGGCCGGCCAAGCTACGTGTGCCGCCGCAACTAAAGGCACAAAATTTATTTATAACGCCACGAGCTGTGTGTGAGTTGATCATTAAAATCAAAAAAATGTCGTGATCTGTTGCGAATTAAAGTATAAATCAATACAAAATGTTGTAAAAAAATGTCTATAATTCGGCCAGACTGCTGTCGGGTGGGCTGCGCTTGTTTTGTGCGTGCTACGAGCACGTACATACATATGTACATACGTACCCCTATTTTTTTTTTAGTGAGCTAGGCTTTGGTTGACGCTGCGCGTTGCGGGAAAAAATAAAATATTTGATGACGTCATAAACGGTGTGAGAGTCTATTAAGTGCAATTACAGCTTCTTCTTTCATTTAATTCAGTTCATTTCAATAATTTTGCTTGTCCGCGAATATTCGCAGTGAAGAAAATAAACAAAATTGAGTGACGCGGCTTATAAGGAATTAAAATTTGAATGAATGCAAAAGTTTGTATTTGTCTATAATGCAGCCAAGCTCCAAGCTATGAGCACGTACCCCTATTTGTTTTTGGTGAGCTAGGCTTTTAGGCCGCTGCACCTTAATGGAAATACGAAAAATGTTATGACGTCACAAGCTGTGGGAGAGTTTAAAAACAACGCAATAACAGCTTGGTGGATTTTGTTTAGTTTTGCGGGGTTTTGCGAATATACGCAATGAAGAAAATATATAAAAGTTTAGTGTTGCGATACGTAAATGTTATGACGTTACGAGCTGTGTTCAATATTGATTGTTTCGATAGTTTTTTTTTACATGTACGCGAATTTACGTAGTGAAGAAATCCAGAAAATTGATGTGTTGTGCGATAAAACTCACGATTTTAATTAATGAAATGCTTTGAATGTTCCGAAACTGTAAAAAGTGTTTGTATTTTAGATAACTTTGCTGTGTATTGCAGGCACATGTTGCAAGTGGAGTTTTTGTTTTGTTTTTGTTTCGCTTTTATCGCTTTTAAAAGAAACGGTAAAACACTTGCTTAGCTTATGTTGATGAAGACATGTATGTATGTGTATGTGCATACGATGCATACAGTTATTTGAGTGACAATTGAATGCCAAATTACGCAGCAGAAGAACGCGGATGAAGGGAAAAATAAAGAAGTAATAAATGAACTGAAGCCCCGTTATAGTCAGAAAGGTGAGTTGCTTAAATTCCCAATAGAAATTTCACAATATAAAATCTTTATATACATATATTGTAGATACTGCATTAATGCATACTAGTTTTTTTTGGGTTGTAATGTCGTTGGCCCTTGAGTGCTAAATTGTTACGCATTTTGAGCAAGCTGCACCCCTTTCACGCTGACCTCCCTCTAGTCAGCTGCTCAGCAGCGAAAATTATCATTGGCGGACCGCAGTGCCTGCAACATTTTCAAGCCCAAGTGCCTGCGAAAGTGGCCGCCAATTTTTCTGGCTTGTTTGACAATTGTTGCGGTGTGGCTGGAAAAGCATGGTCGACATTTAGTCCATTCGTGCGCGCAACTGCAACAGCCAGCGGAAGCAGCGGCACGTGACCATGACAACGATGCCGCCAAGCATCCATTTGGTTGCAACGACTTCGAGCACCGTGCACCGAGCACCGAGCTCTGCTAATGTTGTGCTAGTTGTTATGGCTGTTGTTAGACTCAAAGAGTCATGCAATACTACTACTTCTTCTTCTTCTTCTTCTTTTGTGGTGATTCTTGTACCCTGTAAACATAAAACGTGTACGAAAAGTGTTACAACCGAAGGAGACATCTTAGACTAGTTAAAAGTATGCATTATTATTTACTTTATTATTTTTTTTCTTATATTTTCTCATTATCATATATTACTTATTATAGACGTTTTATTTATTTTATATTTTTCTGATAATTTCATTATTTTTAATTTATTTCTTCTTAAATGTTTATAATTATATTTTTATTATTTCTTTATATTTATTATTTATTTTTATTATTATTTACCTAATTATTTTTGGTTAATTATTTATTGTACTAATATTTATTTAGTTTTTATTATTTATTTTATTGTTATGAACTTAATTTTTTTTTTAATTTTTTTATTTATTTCCTATATATGCCATTTATGCTATTTATTTCATTAACCTATATCATTCGATATCATTTGTTAAAAATGAATTTTTCAAATCTGCGCTGCTTTTGTTTGTAAAAAGAAACATTTTGTATATAGCCTGGATTTTTGCTGCCTGCATATATTTTTGTAAATAATATGTACAATGTTGAGTACAGGGTACCTTCTCGTCGTACACACTGACTTGTTGTCGCTGCTGCTGTTGTTGCTGTGGTGCGTGCAGTTCACAACTTCTCAAGTTTTTCGTAGTGAGACACACTTATTTCCTTGCCTCTCTCATTCTTTTCCTTCACCACACACCGACCCGAAAAGCGCCGCACTTAAACTTGCGTTCTGCTAAACAGTCGCTAGGAGACCGTTGATTGCGATCAGCATCTGCAACTTTAAAAGGCTTTAAAATGGGAACTTGACTGTGACTTAAGGCTGCACTTATAAGCCGGATATAGTTGAGATAAATAATGAAAAACTTTATCGTAATCTTGCTCTAAAATATATAACACATTGAAGGAGACATTTTCGTCCCCTTGAGGTGCACATATACTTAATCTGTTTTAACAGCCGAATTGATCTATATATGTTTTCCTGCCTGTTTCTACACTTACAAGTCTCTTAGTTTAAAGCCCATCTCAATGCAAGTTGGAATCGTGCAAAGCCTTCGGAACATTATTTTTATTTTATAAGCTGTTATTTAAAAAACATAGCTAACTTAAATGATATCGATTTGTTGTTACACAATCAATTGTTTTACAATATTTATACACAATCTGCGCTGACTTTACGATAGAAGGAATATATTTCAATGAGCAGTAGTTGGGATGAAATTGGCTTTAACCAAACGCTAAACTATTCGACTTTAAACACTTAAGCTCTAACATAAATATACATAAATACGGGGCAGACTATGAATAAATTAATTCGTATGTAGTACACATAGTTTTTATCATAGTCGAATCTATTGACACACAAATATCTTATCACTTTTTATAAGTAAATTGTGGAACATAATGTATTTGACAGTCCTGACTGTGTTTAAATAAATGTTGGGTGTAATTCTTAACAAATGAATATAGTTTGGATCAGTTGGTAATCGTCTTGCTTTAACGCTTCTGAAGTCCACGTATCTACTGTAATGCCTTTGCCATTAACGGCGTCTTCTTCTTGCGCATTACCAAGCGAAAGATTAGGAAAACAATTATAATATATGAAGGTGCAGCATAATGTATCTTAACACTTAATAGAATCTTATTGGGACATTGCGTTAGGCATGTGATCTTTGGTTATCCTTAAGTGATTCTCGTGCAAGGGCGGTCGCTCAGGTTAGTCGAAAACAGACTATTAATGAAGCCTTTTAAGTTTGAAGATATTTTGACCAAACCTGGCAGACGCGAGCTTTAATTCCTTTTCATATATTTACAAAGTCTAACATAGTTAGTATTTTAATAGAAACAATTAGTTAAAAGCTGAGTTCTTAAATGTGTTGTGTTGTAAAATCTGTTATTCATACATAACAATAACGAATCTAAAAGCATAAAAAAACATTAAAACAAGCTTAAGGAAAAGCTATTAAAAGAACTTGGGAACTATATCTTTAAGTGTACAACAATTTTACACCTACTTCTAAAATCTGATGCAAAATAGTTTTTTTTAATGGTTCCTATTAAAGTCTGATTTGCTGTTAAAACAAAAATCGTTATGCATTTGCAATTTACAGAGCTTTGAGGCATGCCGATTGCCTGTATGATAATTGGAGCAATCGAATGGATGATGATCAAGAAAGAAAAATATATGAATAATGTATAATAATGTAAGCAAAATGCTTTGTGAGGTATTTTTTTCTTAAGTTTTTTAGCTTGTCAGCTGTCGCAGCCATTGCGATTTACCGTTATTGCGGCCATGAGAAGCAGCAGGTGTGCCAATCCATGCCATGGATGCCAGACCGTTTGAAATTCACTTGCCTAATGCGACACACGCGCACGCATGTGTGTGTGTGTGGGAGAGAAAGAGAGTGTGAGTGTGCATAAAACTCAATTCAAAAATACTTAACAAACATTTATTTGAGTTTTCTTATTTTATTTTTGTACATTTTTATATATAAAATATATGTATTTTAGTATTTTCTTCTTGCATGTGGCAAAGCGACCAACTGCTTCTTTGTTGTTGTAATAAAAATGCAAATAAGTTGGATGGGTTGCGTTGTCGGCGGCGTATGCAAAGTGCCAAAAGCGAGTTGAGTTTTCTCTCTCTCTCCCCCTTTCTCTCTTTTTCTCTATGCAGCAGCAGCCATACACACATTCACATAATTTTAATGCCAATTCAATTTAATGGTTCATTTCATATGAAAATTGTAAAAAGTCATTGCTGGCCGAAAGAGTAAAATACCAAAAAAAAAAACACCTAGAAAAAAGCAAGTAGGAATGCTCGAGTTGAGGGTGATCGAGTCGTATATACCCTATGTAGGCATCAGATTATACCGCACCGCGGAAAAATAATATATATATTCATTTTTATACTTGTTATACGAGCATTAGATGAATGTGATTTTTAGTTTGTGGAAAAACTATTCAAAAAGAATAAAAAAGTATGGTACCATAACCTCAATGAATACACTGTTCGATATTTCGATACCCGATTCGATATATTTAATAATCTATGAATGTTCCAATCAATATGTATATACTTTAATATATATTTTATTATGCGATGCTTTATTGAATACTTTTCTGCACATCCCTCAATACCCTTTTTTTACCAATTTATATAGCTACAGGGTATCAAAAAAGAAGTGGAAAACTCAGCTCGAAATATTTTCCCTTTTGCCACTTGGTATTTTGTCATGCGTGGTTTTTTCTTAGGGCTTTTTTTCGAATGGTTTCGTGCGGGGGGCTTGGGGGGTATATCGGTTGGTAAGCAGTGGTCCATTGTGTTGATGCAGCTGTGGGTAACAGAAAGAATTTTTCATATACTTCCCCCTCATTCTCTCTCTCCCTTTCTCTTTCTCTCACTCTCTCTGTATATCGTAATATATATTTGCGTGTACACACACGACGCATTAAATATGCGAAACATGCATTTGCATTTTGATATCACAGAGCTGAAAGCGAAGCAAAATGCTCGCATATCTACAACTCCCTCACCGAGTTTTCTGTGCGTATTGTAATAGAAAAATCATAAATAGCAAGCATTTAAATGTGAATTTTCCCCTCAGCTAGCCAACTTTCTCGAAAGCATTTCTGATTTCTTTTTGCAGTTATTCGATTTCCCTATTATAGTGAATAACTGTAGTTATGGCAACTAATGCTTTATGCTCTGTCAAAGGATGTCCTTGGCAGTGTAAACGCAAGTGTATTCAATTAATGCTGAATTTTGTGGCACATTGAATGCAAAAACGATAAATATTAATAATGGCCTAGATAAGGGTTCTATTGAGGTAAATATGCAGTGATTGGAATTAGATTTAATCCTCTAATCCTCAAAAAGTATCGATTATTTTTTAATATAAAATATAACAAGTATAACTTAAAGATTAAAGAATCAGATGTTTATTAAAACATGAGATATAGTTGAGGAATGCTTGTGTTTTTAAACTTTGTAACTAATATGTTTATAATCTAAATCAGGTGTAAAATGATCACGCTGTTTGTACACATTTAATCGATATTCGATTATTCGTGAATATTAAATATTTAACTAGAGGAAATACAAATTAAAATAATTAAATGTTTATTAAAACATGAGAAATGATCAAAATATGTTAATAACATAGAAAGGTCGCCAAATCCAGCGTTAGATTAAAAATATGTTTATAAATCTTTTAATACTGAAATTTTCAAAGTTTTTATAATTTATATTATTTTTTATATTATATTTTATATAATTTTATATTTTATATAATTTTATATTTTATATAATTTTATATTTTATATTTTCAAGTTTTCTTTTTATGTTTTTCAAAGATTTTTATTTTTACTACTTAGAACTAAGAACCTTCCTTTTTAATTAAACTAAAAGTTGTTAATGATTCTAGTTAATGACAAAAAATAGCTAATCGTAGCTCTATCTAAACAT